GAGATGATGAGAAATTATGCAGGGATAGAGACATATATGTGACCATCCACACTCCCAGAAATTCCATGGATGGGGGACCTATAGGACTCAGGCTTTTTGGTACAGTCAGTTGTCTGATTTGCATGGAGGGATACTCAGAGATTGTGTAGAGTATATGTTTCATTGTTTCTACAGAACGTGGCCATGTCTTCTGTAGCCAGTACCTCTGTGCTTCCCTTAAGAATTGTTCAACTTCCCTAATACTTGTACAATTTGTAGGAAGAAAGATCAACCACAAACAGTACACTCCATTTATTAATATATATGAAGTGTTCAGAGCTGCTTGGGAGCAACAGATGGACAGCCAGCAAGCCCGGCTGGATTCTCCACAGGGTACCTCTTTCCATTTTCCTGAGCTCAAAAAGACTATTTCAAAACCAACATCTGATGTGTAAATTGCTCCTTTGTTTCCAATCCTCTCTTAGTTCCTTTTGTTATCTCCAGTTTGATGCTATGGAGCTGGACCCAGGAACCTCCTAGGCCAGGTTCTCTGTCTCTGCTCATCTAGGGTAGTCCCATTCCATGGTAGGAGAAAGGGAGTCACTGGAATCGAAAATTATGGTTCCACTCTGTTTCTGGAACCTGCACGATTGCCAAGAAATGTTCCCTGTTTGGAGTGCTTGCCCCAGCTCTCTCAGGCATGGCACCTTTCGTCCCACGTGTCTGCCAGTTGACCAGTCAACTTGACACACACTGACCAAACCAGACACAATCCACTCATCTTGAGGATCCCAGGTGCAAAAGCATCCCCCTGAGACCTGGAAAGACTAACCACCAGAATTTTTCTTCTTCCCTTGAGAGTCAGAGGTCACCCATGATTCTGCTTGCACCTTATCATTGATGTGCAGTAATTTCTGCAAATCAAGAGACCCTCTGTAGGGCAATGCCCTGTTTCCTGAGAACAACAAAGTACAAAAAAGCCCATTCTTTACCTAAAAAAAAAAAAGCCTTCCCTGAATCTCATGTCAAGAATGTGCTCTTAATGTTTAGTTTATCAGTCAGATAAAGAATTTGCATGAGCAAGTACATATGAAATGTTGAATATATCCACAGGTTTCTACAGAAAGCCAATCACATCTGAATATGAATGCTTCTCATAGCTCAAAATCATCATTAGAAGCAGAAAAAATAATTATGAGCTCTTCATCACCTGTGGAGGCTGAATTTGAAAGAGCACTAACAAATGGAATAGGAGACATTAATGCATATTACACACTAGTAGTAAATAGAGGTGGTGGTGAAGATACCATTGAATTATTAGTTTCACTCTCATTTCTATCTGGCTATTGGAGAGATTAGAAAACCAGAGAGAGAGAGAGAGAGAGAAAGAGAGAGAGAGAGAGAGGGAGGGAAGGAGGGAGGGAGAAAGGAAGTAAGAAACCTAGAATAATTCACAAGAACATAATTAGAATCATCTAGGGAACTTTTAAAGAACAGATGAAAAATGGTCATATATATCTACATTTTTCAAGAGCATATAATGTGACTCTGATACATGCCAGAGTTGAGAATTACTGTAAAATAAACAAGTTTAAAAATAAATAAGGATAATTTAATCTATAGGAAACCAAACCTCCTAGTCAAAATTAGTGCTTTAATTTTTTAAAGGCCATATATTTCACATCAAGGTAATTATTTAGCACCTATTATGTGTCAGTCTTGAACAAGCCATTATCCCAAAATATCTCATTTAATGCAGAAATCACTCCAAAGTAGTTTAAATAAAAACTAAGGCTCAGAGAATGTAAAAAATAAACTCAGATCTCTGCCATGCATTGTCCTCATTGTTCCAGTGCACCTTACCAATTTTTGTGCTCAATTTGGAGAAATGAGTATCATATTGGGATGTCTCAGATAAAATGAAATCACATTAGCAATGTAAAATATTTCTCTTTCTACTATATGCAAGGGTCTTAATCAACTAAATTCAACTGATACATACAATTTGAGGCTCATTCATGTCAAAAAGTGCAGGAGGAGGATAAAAGGCCAGAAAGTACCATTATGATATGGGGAAGATGTGTCCTTGATCTCTTTCTACAGATGCTTCAACAATTTTGTGCCTATCTCCTCAATTCTAGCCTTTGCTATCCTCTGCTCAGTGTTTTCCTTTGCTCACTGTGTTATATGCCCTGAGGTACATCACATGTTCTGAACCTCATCTGACTCTCTCCTCATCATTAAAATCTGCATTTAGTCTATTCCTAGGCTTCTGTTCGGTAACCAGCTCAAAAATTAAGATTAATTCCTAACTTAGAGAAAAAAGCGAGAATTATTTGGAACTATGGGAATTTTAGACAATATAGCAAGGTCAATGGTAAAAACAGATTTGTCTGTTCGAAAAAATATATACTTAAGATCAACGAAACAAAAAGATGTTTTTTGAAAAGATAAACAAAACAGATACATATTTAGCCAGACTAAGAGAAAAAGAGAGAAGACCCAAACAAATAAAATCAGAGATGAAAAAGGAGGCATTGCAACAAATACTGCAGAAATCCAAAGGATCATTAGAGACTATCATGAGCAACTACGTGCAAATAAATTGGAAAACCTAGAAGAAATGGATAAATTCCTAAGACACATACAACCTGCCAAGATTGAACCAGGAAGAAATCCAAAACCTGAATAAAGCAGTAACAACTAACAACACATGAATAGTAACAGAATGTCTCCCATTAAAGAACATCCCAGGGCCTGATGGCTTCACTGCTGAATTCTACCAAGCATTCAAAAAACAACTAATACCAATCCTACTTAAACTATTCCAAACAAATCAAGGAATAGGGGATACTTCCAAACTCATTCTATGAGGTTTGTATCACCCTTATACCAGACCAGATGAAGACACAGCAACAACAACAACAACAACAAAACTATAGGCCAATATCTTTGGTGAACATAGATGCAAAAATCCTCAACAAAATACTAGCAAACCTAATTCAACAACACATTAAAAAGATTATTCATCATGATCAATTGGGATTCATCCCAGGGATGCAAGGATGGTTCAACATACACAAATCAATCAATGTGACACATTGTATCAACAGAACGAAGGACAAAAACCATACGATGATTTCAATGGATGCTGAAAAAGAATTTGATAATATTAAACATCACTTCATGATAAAAACTCTCAAAACACTGGGTATAAAAGGAACTTACCTCAACACGATACAAATATGTATATGACAGACTCACAGGTAGTACCATACTGAATGGGAGAAAACTGAAAGCCTTTTCTCTAAGGTCTGGAACAAGATAAAGATGCCCACTTTCACCACTATTATTCAAAATAGTACTGGAAGATCTGGCTAGAGCAATCAGACAAGAGAAAGAAATAAAGGACATCCAAATTGGATAGGAAGAAGTCAAATTATCCTTGTTTCCAGATGATATGATCTCATATCTAGATAAACCTGCAGACTCCACCCAAAACTAGTAAAACTGATAAACAAATTCAGTAAAGTTGCAGGATACAAAATCAATACCCAAAAATAAATAGCATTTCTATATGCCAAGAGTAAACAATCTGAAAAAGAAACCAAGAAAGTCATCCCAACAACAATAGGTACAAATAAAATTAAATACCTAGGAATAAACTTAACCAAAAAAGTGAAAGATCTCTATAATGTAAACTATAAAACATTGATGAAGAAGTTGAAGAGGACACAAAAAAATGGAAAGATATTCCATGCTCGTGGATTGAAAGAACCAATATTCTTAAAATGTCCATACTACCTAAAGAAATCTACAGATTCAGTGCAATCCCCATCAAAATATCAATGACGTTCTTCAAAGAAATGGAAAAAAACAATCATGAAATTTACATAGAACCACAAAATATCCAGAATAGCCAAAGCCATCCTGAGCAAAAAGAAAAAACTGGAGGAATCACATTACCTGACTTTACATTATACTTCAGAGCTATAGTAACCAAAACAGCATGATACTGGCATGAAAACAAACACATAGAACAACGGAACAGAAGAGAGAACCAAGAAAGAAATCCACATATCAATAGTGAACTTATCTTCGACAAAGGTGCCATTAACACAGTGGGGAAAGGATAATCTCTTCAATAAATGGTGCTGGGAAAACTCGATATCCATATGCAGAAGAATGAAACTACACCCTTATCTCTTTCCATAACAAAAATCAAATCAAAATGGATTAAAGACTTAAATCTAAGACCTGAAACTATGAAACTACTAAAAGAAAACATAGGGAAAATGCTCGAGGACATTGGTCTGGGCAAGGACTTCTTGAGTAATACCCTCAAAATACAAGCAACCAAAACAAAATTGAACAAATGAGATAACATCAAGCTAAAAGGCATATGCATAGCAAAGGAAACAAGTGAAGAGACAATCCACAGAATGGGAGAAAATATTTATAAACTACCTGACAAGGGATTAATAACTAGAATATATAAGGAGCTCCAACAAATTGATAGGAAAAAAAAATCAAATAATCTGATTTAAAAATGGGCAAAGAATCTGAATAGATATTCCTCAAAATAAAACATACAAATGGCCAACAGGTATATGAAGAAATGCTCAACATCATTAGTCATAAGAGAAATGCAAATTAAAACTGCAATGAGATATCCTCTCACTCCAGTTAAAATGGTTTTTATAAAAAAGACAGGCAATAACAAATCTGGGGAGGGTGTGGAGAAAGGGAAACCTTCATACACTGTTGGTGGGAATGTAAATTAATGCAACCACTATGGAGAACAGAATGGAGCTTCCTCAAAAAACTAAAAATAGAACTACCATATAACCCAGCAATCCCACTGCTGGGTATACATCTAAAAGTCAGGAAATCAGTATATCAAAAAGATGTCTACACTCTCATGTTTATTGCAGCACTATTCACAACAGGCAAGATTTGGAATCAGCGTAATTGTCCATCAATGGATGAATGGATAAAGAAATTGTGGTAGGCTCACTCTTGGCGCCGTCCCGGGAGGTGTGTGTGAGTCATGGCTTCTCCCAACCCCTGGGACCCGGCACCGGCGCCAAACGGTGCTGGGCTACCGTTGAGCCACTTCGTAGCTTCAGGGATAGTCACTCAGGAGATGTTAAATATATCTAAGAAAACAGCTCCTTGTTTTATGAACTTCTCCAGACTACAGCAGATCACAAATATTCAAGCTGAAATCTACCAGAAAAACCTGGAAATTGAACTCCTGAAACTAGCAAAGGATACAGCAGATATTGTTCATCCTTTCTTTTTGGCTCAGAAGTGTCAAACTCTGCAAAGCATGAATAATCATTTGGAAGCTGTGCTAAAAGAGAAGAGGTCCCTCAGGCAAAGACTGTTGAAACCCATGTGCCAGGAAAACTTACCTATTGAAGCTGTTTATCACAGATATTTGGTACATTTGCTGGAGTTGGCTGTGACTTTCATTGAGAAATTAGAAACCCATCTTGAAACAATTAGAAATATCCCTCATCTAAATGCAAATCTAAAGAAAATGACCAAGGCTTTCGCAAAGATGGATATTTTGGTGACTGAGACAGAAGAACTAGTAGAGAATATACTCAAGTGGCGAAAACAACAAAATGAAGTTTCTTCTTATATCCCCAAAATATTAGCTGAAGAAAATTATCTTCATAAACATGACATTATTATGCCTCCTTTACCTTTTACTTCTACAGTTCCTATCCAAACTGTTATTGCCAAGTGATCATCAACTTTATTTTTGCTTAATTATGTGTAGTCATATATAAAGTCCATTTCTAGTTAATTGTGACATATTTTATAGGCTTTGCTGCTAGCAATACTGAAAGAGCCCTCTTTCTATTGGAGGATTCAGGTTCATTAAGACCAAACTGACTTTTTCTTTGTTTTTCATCTATTTTCATTCCACTTTTCAGTAAAGCTACTGAAGATTAAATATAATTATGA